TGAAGGACCAAGAAAAAACACATTCATAAATAGAAATGCAAAGTGTGTTCACTGAAGACAATAAAAAGACAAAGTTGGCCTGAGAGATTAAGAGACCTTGTGGCTTTCCTACAACTCATTAACCAGCCACAATGTGGGACTGGAGGAGCATGTGACTGAAGCTTCAGCCTGACTCTCATCACTAATAGAGAATGCAACTTCTTTCCACTCAGATTCTTCCAGACCTGGTGAGTCCTGAGCTGTTGATGATTGACAGCTGTCTTTTCTTTCTTTCTTTCTTAATTTTTTTATTAAGAATTTTTTTTAATTCATTTTACATACTAACCACAGATCCCCCTCTCTTCCCTTCTCCTGCCTCCAGTCTTCCCCCCAAACCCAACTCCCACCCTGTTCCCTCCTCCAACAAAGTAAGGCCTCCCAAGGGGAGTCAGCAGAGCCTGGTACATTCAATTGAGGCAGGTCCAGGCCCCTCCCCCTGCACCAAGGCTGTGCAAGGTGTCCCACCATAGGAAGTGGGCTCCAAAAAGCCAATAGCTGTCTTTTCTGAAGCAAGAAGGAGCTCATGCATTCAGCTGCCTATATTAGTTGACCTTATTTGCATTTCCTTTTCTTATTTGATTGTCTCCTATTCCTTCATTTCAGAAATTTGTTGAAATCTATCATGTCTGATAATCCTTTGTAGATTTGACTTGGTTCTATCTTGTTGGTGTTTCTCCCTCCATGTATAATTGGCCATTGACCCTGGAAATGGATCTGCAGGATTAATTAAGGACAAAGACTCTGACACAGCCCCGTAGATACAAGTTTATATCCTTAGAATATGTTTTCAATTCCTCTGTGCACATAGGGAAATGGGAGGGTCAAGCTGGAACAGGGGCAGAGTGGGAGGGCAGGAAGGGAGATATCATGATAGATGAGGACATCATGGGAATAGGAAGAGGCAGGATGCTGGGGAGGCTCTCAGGAATCCACAAGGTTGACCCCACCTTGGTCTGCTGACAGTGGTCCAGAGGGTTCCTGGACTGGTCTACTCTAGTGATCAGCCTAGCAAATAACCTAGCTGTCATCATAGAGCCTTTGTCCAGTGACTGATGGAGGCAGATACAGAGATCCATGGCCAGGCACCAGGCTGAGCTCCGGGAATCCAATTGAGGAGAGATACTGCAGGTGAGGGACATCGAGATCATGATGGGAGGATGTGCAGAGATGACCGGCCACACTAGTGGAAGCCCATGAACTGTGGACTGGTGGAGGACTGTGGAGTCCTCATGAGACTTCTGGATAAGGAAGATGGTTGTTTGGCTTGAACTGTTTGGGGGGCACCCAGGCAGGGGGATCAGGATCTGTCCCTGGTCTATGGGCAGGCTTCTGGAATCTGGTGCCTGTGGTGTGACACCTTGCACAGGCTTGGTGCAGTGGGAAGGGGCTTGGACCTGCCTAGGCCCAGCGTGTTGGGCTCTGCTGACTCCCCATGGGAGACCTCGATTTGGGGGATGTGGGGATGCGGGGTGGCTTGGGAAAGAGGGCTGGGGGGTGGGAGGAGGGAAGATCTGTGGATAGTATGTGGAGTGAGTAGAAAATTTCTTAATAAAGAAAAATGAAAGAAAAAAAAACAAAAAAATCAACTCCTCTGTGCTTCTTTCTACTTACCAGTAAAATGAGAATATTAACATTAATTACCTTAATGGGCCCTGAAAGAGCTCAGTCAGCTTCTAATGTACACACTTAGTGACTCATTACTCTTTCCCAGACTGAAATTCACAATCTGTCTTATCACCTACAGTCTTGCTCAGCATATGAAGTCCATTTTCTGTTTCTACTCACTTCTGTGATGAAGTATCTTCTCCAGTATTTAAATTGGGATCAAAATTCCACTCTGTTCATCTGGGTGGGGGAGAAATAGGTCATTTTATAATAAGAGCATAGAGAAAATCACTTAATAATTACCCCCAACATTGCCTTGACTTACCTTCCTTGATCAGCTGCATTGCCTTCCCCACATTTGCTTTAAACAGTACCAGAAACACAGTTTATCACTGAACACATTCATACAATACTACCTTAGATTCTCAACAGCAAATGGCTACTGCACCTCCCTGTTTGGGAGACATGCCCATGAACAATATTAGTCATATTGGCAAGCACAAGGAATTCTTCACAACTAACTAGAACTTTCTGCTGATAGAATTATAAAGAGTGATTTCCTATCCAGCTATGAACTCTGTGAATAACAATCCCAAACTGCCAGGCAACATGTGCCTGTTGGTGCAACAGTGGTATGGCTGTTATGAGAGTAACCAACTGCTCTCTGGTTATATTTGAGGCCTGCTCCACAGGAACCAATGCATACACAGTACTGTAAATTCAGTCAAGAACCTATGGTTGATAACGTCTTAAGCCCTAGGCTGGAACCTACTAGTGTTTCTTATCTCTTTTGACATAGTATCCAAATACCTTCAAATACGGATGTGTACAAACTCAGATAGCGGCTACTCCCAGTCTTAGTCTGAGAAATCTCTTTTTGCAGTGCATGCAAGGGAATTCAGAGACCCATGGCTGCACAAGGTATTCAGAATAAAGGATGGTGCAGGGCTCAGTCCTAAACCAGGCATTTATACCATCGCCCTTAGGCTCAGGAAATGTTACCAAAGAGGGGGCTGAAATAGTGTAAGAGCAGAAGATAGAGAAGGGTTGTGAAATGCTGTCTTCTAAGCATGACATGGTTGAAGCAATCATTAACTCATAGCTGTTTTGTCTCCTGGTACTGGGCCTACATGAGTTAGACACATAGGACAGTCAGCTATGGATCGAGAAAGGGCTCAGAGGGCCCAGCCATGTGCTGCTGAACTATTGGCAGATATCAGATTCTGTATCAACAAGGGAAAGCATTGTATTCTATTGGGCAGTGATGGACAGTTCCCAAACTGTGGCCACACAGATGACCCTAATTTACACACACACACACACACACACACACACACACACACACACACACACACACACACACACACCACAGAGAGAGTTATGAATATGCAAAAGATAGTTGTCGTAAGAAGTGGGGTTGGCAGGGTGGGAGGGAAAGAAGAGAGGGTGGGAGAGGAGAGTAACCAGAGGAGTTATGAATATGTATGAACTTGTCAAAGAACAAGATTTATTAACTAAATATTTGTGATTTGGCTAAAATTTTCAACTACAATGTTTTCTATTACTTCTTCTTTCCTTCCATTTTCCTTCCTGCCTTTATCTCCTTCCTTTCTTCCATTGTTCGTTGATCCTATATTTCATGATTATTCACTATAGCCTTCACATGGAAATAGATTCCTGAAATATACAATATATATGAAGGTCTTCTTGCCCCCATGGTCACTTTGTAGTTAGGAAGTATGGCCATCCTCACATCTGCCTTTACAAAAGATGACATTACCTTCATGAATCTCCATCATGATATCTTTCTATCTCTTGGATGTACCTTCCCAGTTCCTGGGAATGGCCATGCATCATGATTTGAGGGTTCCTGTTCTCTAACCCTGTTCCATGATAGAAGCATTAATGGGCCCTAAGTCTTACCACTGCCTCATAGAGACTGCTCAGACCATTTTGCTGCTTTCAGGTCATAATATGACTTAGGACATGGGTTAAAGTGTTGGGACTACAAATATTCCAATGTCATTAGAGGACTTTTGTCAAAATATTGAGAGACCAAGATAGGGAGACTCCGGTTATGGGCTTCCCTAACCTGAATGCCTTGGTGGGGCTGGCAGGAAGTGTTCTTGGCTCCTGGGATTCTGAATAGGTAAGGATGTCTTCTTTGTCTAACAATGTCAAGCTTTTCTGGGCTGACTTCTACATCCTCTGGTGTCATGATATAAATTCACCATCACCATGTGTACTATACTGTCTTCATCCCTACACTATAGGCCTGAGCATGCTCAGTGTTGTTACCTGTGAGCATTGCCTGTCTGTCTTGTAATCCATTTAGGATCACTAGTTCTATCCAAAATACTGGCCAGTTAACGTTTGCCCTGCTCTAGATTCTGTCTGCTGCTTAGTAGCCTGTAAAAGCCTGATGAATCCGCCTACTTAAAACAGTTGCCAATGAATTACATCTGTCGAATTATTTCATCACAGCCCTGTGGCTGTTATTTTATTGTTGGTTCTGTCTAGGCTTTGTCTGCCTCTGCTGGTCAGGACCTTTGAGGTTCCAGGCAGATATGCATAACAAGATTTCATGTTTTGATCTATTTTCCTTTTTCCTCTCTTCTCTTTCTGGTGGCTTGATTTTTGTTGAAGATTTATCCTTTTCTGCTGTCTTTTTGGTTTTGTTTATTTCCACCTATGCAGAAGCAGGTTTAGCTAGCACTCTTGCAGATAACATCTTGAGTTCTTTCTTCATGGCCCCACTGCTGAGTGCTGAGTTGACCTTCCTCTTTGGCATCTTAGCAGTAAGGAGGTTGTCCCAGGAAACTGTAGACCATGCATTCCCTAGATCCTTCCTTAGGTTGGGCATCTGACAGAAGCAACTGTTTTAGTTTCAAAACTGAGACTCCTGTCTAAAGTCACTATTTTGCAAATTCATTTAATTTGATCATTATCTTTGTCTGTTGCTTAGTCATGGTCTGGTTTTGCAAACATAAAGATAAGTCTGATACCCAGATAATGTTACAGTACTGGCTCACATTGCTTGGCAATGCTGGCCTTCTGGCTGCAAGAAACACTAACAGGAAAGGGGAGCCGTAGGGGTGGGCATGGCCAGAGGATGAGAGCTAGGATCCAGGCAAGATATTGAGAACAGTTTTGAGAAGAGCATGACTCATAGGAGTGACACTCATATACCTAGATCCAATATGGGAAACCACAGGTCTTTCTTATCCTCTTGATTATCCTTCTGCAAGCACCAGTCTCTCTGCAGTTTCTGAACTACAGATGTGTTTCATATTGACAGGTGACTCGGGGGACTCTTCTCTTTGCCACAGACCAGCTTATGACCTCACATAAGAAGAATGGAGGAAAGGTAAGATACTTTTTGAGATATTCTTCTCAAAGCTATTATTTATTTTTCTTTGTCTGTGACCATTGAGGTGAAGAATCCAAGGAGCCTCACACATTTTTTTTTTTTTGCAGACACAGGAGTCATGAAGGTCCTCCATGTCAGCTCTGTGGGCTGGCAGACTGCAGTGTGGGAGGTTTAAAGCCAGTGAGCCAAGGCAGTGCCCTCTCTTTATACTTTCTCCCATTCTTCTCTCACCCCATCTATTCACACACGCTCCTATTGTGAGCTTTCTGCCATTTTCCCTGACATGGCCAGCATATGGGCACAGGCACTGTTTCTAAAAGCACATTTCTGTCAGCACCTCAGTCACTGTGTTTCCTGCAATGGAAAGTTTCCATCTTTTGTGTATTTCTGTCACAGTAGGAAGCAGATGGTCTAAAAATGAGCAACTAACCTAATTAAGTGTAATTTATCAACAATGTACATATTTAGGGAAAGATACATGAGATATTGAACCCATCTCCTACCCCCTAAAAATAACATGGAGTGTGGAGCTTTATCAATTGTTGTAAAGTAGAAGTCATCTGAACACACAGCTGGTTGTTACTGTGACTGCAAAAGTACCCATGCTCTGCCCCAGGCATTCAATACTGATTAATTTTGTTCTTTGATCTTTTTATATATGCACACTATTTACTCTGCTTACTCTCCCCAACTCTTTCAACTATTCCTTCCATATCTATCAATCTCCCTCTCTACCAGTTCCTTTTTGAGACCATGATTTTTAGTTTTGTTTTGAAACATCTATTATATATGCCTATTTGGTTATCTGAACTACCTATTGAGACCTGGTTTACTTACTAGTGGGTACCTGATTGAAGGCAATGGTTTCTTCTCTCCTTGAATCAGCTGTAAGTCAATTATTCGGTTGGGAGCAATAGCCCTTCCAGAATCCATCCTTCATCCATGCCTGGCTGTTGATTGGAATATTTTTGTGTAGAATCTGTATGTGTATTCCCAACTGCTCTGAGTCTGTGACTGTAATGACCATGTCTTGTCAAGGAGATATCATTTTGAAACTCTTCTTTTTCCTGCCGTTACATTCTTTCCACTCTTCCTTCTGCAATGTTACCTGAGCCTCAGGGAAAATGGAATAAATGACTTTCTTAGGGGTAAACTCTCAACCTTTACCCAGTCTCAGTACCTTGTCTGGTAATGATTTTCTTCTTTTATGACCATTGGCTTGAAAGAGAAGCTTCTCTCATTAAGGCTCAATGTAATGTCCACAACTAGTATTAACATAAATATTCAGAGAGCAGTGCTATGCTGTCAATTTAGTTCAACAACTGAATTCAGTTTCACCACAGGGCATATGATCTCCCTAATCTTGTGTGTTTGATCTGATTTCCAGCACTAGGCAAGTATTCCTTCATATGTAGTGGGCTTCAAATCCAACCAGAAAGCAGTCAGTTCCCCCGTAACGATACTGCCACTATTGCACAAGTGTGCATTTCTGACCTGTAAGGTTGCTGTCATAGATTGCAGGATTCATAGCTGGGTAAGACCATGGATGTGGTTTGTCCCTCAGGATCTTGCATAACACCTTCTGGGATTACAAAAGCTAGCCCTAGAAGGGAGGATTCTTCCACCTTGGTACTAGCTTGTTCCTTGTAATTTGTACACTCAAGGTGTGGGGTGTTTTCAGCAATAGGGTCTGAACATGTAGTTATGATGAAAAACAGAAAGAATGACAAAAATCTGTATTGTTTTGGGGGCCCTGGGGACTCCTTGACAAATAACTCATAAAGAGTTATAGCATGTCTGGCAGGAAATTTTTTAACACCCCATGGCTCCTCAAAGCAGCTTCCCCCAGGTACGGAATGTAGCTCCCCTGCAACTCTCTTTTTCAAAAATAATGTTTTAAAGTTTAGTTATAAGATATTAGATTTCTCTATACTCTTAATTTTGATTAACCCTCTTTTTCTGTTTTTATTTCCCCATTCCTCCATCACCCCTCCTCCTTTCTACCCTCATATCCCTTTTTGTACTTTCATATTTCCTTCATTTCAATATTTTGCCTCCATTAAGGCATATTCCTCCCAAAGACCTCTCTCTAATGTCTTGCCTCCCACAAGTAATTCATGTAGATCACACAAAATTAGAGATTTTAAGCTAGAATCCAAGAGTGGAGCAGAACATATGGGATTTGCCTTTTTGTTGTTCTTGGGTTTCCTCCCTCAATATATTTTTTTCCAGTTCCAGCCATTGACTTGAAAATTTCACAGTATAATTTTCCTTCACAACTGAATTAGTCCCACTGTATATATGTACAACATTTTACTGTCCACCCATCAGCTGATGGACTTCTAGGCTGATTCCCTATTCTAGTTATTGTGAATAGAATGGCAGCAATTAACATAGATAATAAAGGATTCTTTTTAGTAGCACGTAAAGTCTTTAGCATACATGACAAGGCATGGTATAGTCAGGTGCTCTCTTAGTTAAAACTACTATTGCTGTGATGAAACACCATGATCAAAGGAACTTGGGGAAGAAACTGTTCATCTTATGCTTCCACATCACAGGTCATTATCAAAGGAAGTCAAGACAGGAACTCAAATAGGGCAGGAACCTGGAGGCAGGAGCTGATGCAGAGACCACAGAAGAGGGCTGTTTACTGGATTGCTCTTTATGGCTTGCTCAACCTGCTTTGCTATAGAATCCAGAACTATCAGCCCAAAAACAGTACCACTCATAATGGGCTGGGTCCTTTCCATCAATCACTAATTGGGAAAATGCCCCACAGACTTGTATACAGCCTGATCTTATGGAGGAATTTTCTCAGTAGAGGCTCCCTCCCCTCTGATGACACTAGCTTGTGTCAAGTTGATATAAAGCTAGCCAGTATACTTGCTATAACAGTTCTATCTCATTTTCTGAGGAATCACCATACCATTTTCTATAGCAGTAGTATCAGTTTGCATTCTCACAAAGAACAGTAAATGAGTGTTCCTCTTTCCCAATACCTTTACAGCATTTCTTGTTCTTTGGCTTCTTGATGATAACCATTCTGCTTGGGATAAGATGGAATCTTTTTTTTATGATGAAGAAAGGTAATGTTTATCCTGTTGCTAGAACACAAGGTTGTGATTACCACTCAGGATGTACATGGGGCTCACAATGGGCAACAGGGGATGCGTCTGAGTTGCAGGTAATAATATGATTTTTGATCTGGGAGGAGACTACATGTGTGGGTTCATGTTGTACAAGTTCTCTGAATGTTACACTTTGAACTTGAAAATTTCCACATATATTTTAATAATACTTTTCTGTAATAAATACAAATAAATATAGTTAAGAGAGATCTGCCAGAGTCCTTTGTCTTACTTCAAGGTGTTGCCTCCAGGGCCCAGCTCAACTCCCATGGTAGCAGACTGTAGGGGCCCCCTGAGGATCACCAGCTTCATTTCCTCCTTCTCCCCTAGCTAGGCTGCCCAAGGAAGTCATTCTTTCCAAGTCTTCAGTTCTGTCATCCTCTTTATCAACCCTTTTTTCACACATCCCCCCCCCCCCCCCCCCCCCCCCCCCCCCCCCCGCCATGTCCTGGGAAAGCTTATTTTAGCATCACTCTTGTCATACCCAGAGCCAGTAAGATGGAATTGCAAAGCAGTTTTAACTTTTGTTTTCCTGATGGCCATTGACATTGAACATTTTTCAAAATGGTAGCATATATTCATATTTCTTCTTTGGGGATTTGTCTGTTCAAATCTATAGTGCATTCATTGATTGTGTTCCTTCATTTCTTGGTGTTTTCTTTTTTGAGTTCCTTGTGTTTTCTAGACACGAGTTTTCTGCTGTATGTATACCTGGCCAACTGTGTTTTTTTACTTAAGTCAGGTGTTTACTCCTGTCTTCTTTAAGTTCATTCAGGGGTTTAATCCTCTTTGAACTCCTTAATCTCACGAGCGTGCTTTTAATTGTTCTTTTGAATGCCACGTCTTGAGCTTCATCTAAATTGTATTCACTTGGGATACATGCTATAGGATTCATGATCTTTAGGAGAGACATATTTTTTTAAATATTGTTTGTAATTTTATAACGGGACCTGGGCATTTGGGGTTTGGTTCTTGGTTATATATTTTGGTATAAGTTTTTGACTGCCATTTTGGAGTCCCCAGGTGGGTTTTGGACTACATACTTTTGGGGAATCCCAAAGGAACAAAGTTTGGGAGGGAGTATCTTATCAGGGGCCTGTGAGTACCTACAGAGAAGACCAAGGTGGGATATCTAGTTGGATATCTAGGGTAGTCCTAAGAGGGTGTAAACAAAGAGAGTGGTTTCTATCAGGATGCGTGTGACACTTGATTGGCAGTTACATACTCTCTCAGGGTGTGGAACATTATCATTCAGTTCCAACTCTAAAATGCTTACACTAGACTCTGTTACTTTGCTAATAGGTTTTACTCTTTGGGTGAACTGACTCATGCTCCTGCATCTTTTAACATCAGCATCTGCTTTATGTCATCTACTCCTGACACTTGCCACTATATTTTGTTATAGGTTCTTTTTATTAATATCCATTTGGAAGGCCTCCATTGTTGGAATGTCCCTATATTTTTGTAGATTAAGGGAAATCCTTAATACTATAACATGGAATTAGTGTTCTGTGCTTTAGCCTGCATCTCAGACCCCTCCTTTGTCCAAAGGATACTGGGGAGTTCCAGAGGTCTCCAAAGTTGAGATCCTTCCTTCTTTCCTCCCTCCCTCCCCCTCTTTCTTTCTTTCTTTCTTTCTTTCTTTCTTTCTTTCTTTCTTTCTTTCTTTCTTTCTTTCTTTCTTTCTTTCTTTCTTTCTTTCTTTCCTGGTTCCGTCCTCCCCTCCTTTGTTCTTTCCTTCCCCCCTCTCTCTCTCCCATTCTTTCCCCTTCCTTCCTTCCTTCCTTCCTTCCTTCCTTCCTTCCTTCCTTCCTTCCTCCCTTCCTTTCTTCCTTCCTTCCTTTCTTCCCTCCCTCCCTCCTTCCCTCCCTCCCTTCCTTTCTTTCTTTGTTCCTTTCTTCCTTTTTGTTCTGTCAGCCCAGGCTTTTCTGGACCTCACTATGTAGTTTAGTTTGTGCTTGAACTCAGGGACCTCTTCCTGGCCCAGCCTCTAGATCTGGTATTCCACAAGTAAGCTATCATGCCTGGTCGGTAGTTTGCTTTATACTCTGTCTTCCCACGTGGATGTTTCTGGGTCACAACCCCTCTGCTTAGCACAGCCATCACTTCTTCCCTTCTTTCCCTCTTTCTGCACATTTTCCTTTTTATTCTCCAAGAATGTCAGAAGTTCAGTTAGCCTCAAATCAATGTCCAAATTCCGGTATGAAACTCTTTCAGGCTATCATTGCAGTCATTTATTGAACATTCTTAGGTTGGGGAATGACAAAAGTCATTATTCACCATCTTGTAGCATAAGCCATTCTTTCAAACACACTAGAATTTTCCACCAACAGAACCCTCAGCAGTGATATTTTCTTCCTTTTCTATGTGTTTTGTGGTACTAACTTGGTATAAAATATTTGCAAAAACATTCAATCTAAGTATAGCTGCTGTTCAGTTTATGATTAATTCATTCATTTGTTCAGTGAAAAGTCTCAATTACTCACCAAGTCTAAATAGAGAGATGGACACTTGTGATGTAGCAGCAGACAACAGAAAGGTTTCTGATGTCCTCAAAGGCTTTCCTGCTTTTTAGGTTCAAATCTGAAATGCAGACAGGTTCATTCTCATTAACCTGTAAATCTGGTTCCTCTCATACTGCTCTTAGTAAGTCTTGGCATACCCATCTTGACTCTCATTCATGATTTCCATATTTTCCCCTGCCAGACTAAGAGCAGCTGATGGTCCTGCTTCTGGCTTCCAAGTTCCTACACCAGAGAAGAACTAGCCTAATGACAGAAAGAAAGTTAGGTTCAGAGTTCTATTTCTTTCTGACACAGCCCAAGACACTGAGTTTCTTTATTGGGGCCACCAACTACAAACAAATACAAACTGGATTTAAATGAAGGCTCCAGAAACAATCGGTTTTCATAATCTACTCAGTCTCTACAGTCCTATTTCTCCTTTTTGTGAACCAGGTCAGTCATTCACACAGAGCAAAGTGGTCCTAAGAATCAGAGAGAACACAGCATGTGCTCATATCTTGTTTTTCTTTCCAGGAACAGTAGTGGAGAGCTCCTACCAGTGGATCTAAACATCCCAGACTGGGGCACTAACATCACAGCACCGAATGGAAGAAACCACACTGGAATTCCTCTTTGTGACATCATGTTCTGTACCATGATTTTCCTGTCCCTCATCATTGCCCTGGTTGGACTGGTTGGGAATGCCATAGTGTTGTGGCTTCTGGGATTCCACATGCGCAGAAATGGCTTCTCTGTCTACATCCTCAACCTGGCCGGGGCTGACTTCCTCTTCCTCTGCTTTCAAATTGTACATTGTATTTATATTATTTTGGACATCTTCTACTCCAAGACCATTGACACACCTCTGTTTTCTTTTGTTGTGTCAAACTTTGCTTATCTTTGTGGCCTGAGCATGCTCAGTGCCATTAGCATTGAACGAAGCCTGTCTGTCATGTGGCCCATCTGGTATCGCTGCCGGCGCCCGAGGCACACATCAACTGTCATATGTATCCTGCTTTGTTTTTTGTCCCTGCTGTTAAGCCTCCTGGAAGGAAAAGGATGTGGCTTGCTACTTGATAGTCTTGGCCCTGATTGGTGTCAGACATTTGATTTCATCACTGCTGCATGGTTAATTGTTTTATTTGTGGTTCTCTTGGGGTCTAGTCTGGCCTTAGTGGTTACTATCTTCTGTGGCTCACACAGGATTCCTGTGACCAGGCTGTTTGTGACCATTGTTTGCACAGTGCTGGTCTTTCTGTTCTTTGGTTTGCCCTATGGGATCTATCAGTTTCTCTTAGAATGGATTGAAAATTTTGATTATGTTGTGTCTTGTGATTTTTATTCTGTGACACTATTTCTCTCCTGTGTCAACAGCTGTGCCAATCCTGTAATTTACTTCCTCGTTGGCTCCATTAGGCATTGTAGGTTCCAGAGGAACACTCTCAAGCTCCTTCTGCAGAGAGCCATGCAGGATACTCCTGAGGAGGAAGAATGTGAAGAGAAGAGTTCTTCAGAAAGATCTAGAGAAATGAAAAGAGTCTGATAGTGACTTAGATCTGTTTTGTTTAGACAGAATTAACTTTGAGAAACAACTTTGTCCTCATCAGTTTATGGCAATTTCATAACCTTGGTTAGTTGATGATCTGAAGTTAAATCAGTTGGGAAAGTAGTCAATCTTGTCGAAGTTGATTGATACTGGACTTGTTATACAAATACTGACTGCAGCATTTCTGGAGCTGTCATACTCAGGGCTTCATCATCTCCTCTTTATGGGAGTCCTTAGAAGCTCTCTGGGGTCCTGGAGAACTGTTGACCACTATTGACAAATCCCTCCTTCAGCAGAAGGGTCAAGGAAATGCCGTGAAGATCTTCATTTCTTCGGTCACTGAGCATGATAGTGGTTAAATCCATGTTATATTTTGCATCAATTTTCTTTTCTTTTTTTAAGCTTTAAAATATGGTTTTATTTATTTTTTAATATGTGCATTTTATGAAACAAAACACAAGAGGCCAAGAATAAAGTCACCCAGTCACAAGCAGCTCATCTTGATGTGTCCTTCTAGATCCTACAAGTAAGTGTGCATACATTGAGGTAGTTGAGATTATTCAGTATTTACAACACCTTCTCCCACATTGTAACTATTCACCAACTAATAACCCCATGCTACATGAGTATTTTGATAACTAAGAATACACCATGACATCTTAATCTGTCAGACAAAATTGTAATCCTCTCTTCCTTGGCAACAAAAATTTCATAGAAGATAAAAATGGCAGTGGGCCTTTATATAGAAGTACTGGTGAAGTTACAATTAAAATTCTGCATTCCCTCAATGCTCAGTTTAACAAGGAAATGCAAAGCAACAAACCACACCAAGTATAGCATTCCTAAGTTATATGCAGATCTATGTACTAACATATGAGGAAGAAGACGTGTTCCTGCTTAATAAATGTATTCCTATGAAATAGTTGGAAGATGCACTTTTGACACAAGTTTTCAGGATGTAAGTCTCAACACAGTATTGCAAATCTCATCCCTTGAGTCTCCCTCTGCCCTTTCACAGTCAGCCTGGCAACATAAATTACCTCACAATTTCTAGAAAGGACTCAACAATTCTATGTTCAAGAGGAACCTTCTTGTCATTTCTACCATATTCATGAGCTATCATTTTAACCATATGGTTAGACAATTGGAACTAACCAACAGGTACAGTGCCTTATTCTGCATTAATCTTTCCCCTACCCACCTCCACCACCTGATAACAGCATCTATTCAAGACCAAGTTTAGCAATTCCATTTCCCCAGTGTAACCATTCTTATGAAATAACAAAACAATCCTTAAAAGGTGGTCTTATCCCTCTCTTTTTTCCATGTTATGCATCTGTTACATTTATGAATTAGTGTATGCATGTGAGCACATGCATGCTATTGCACTTTTATGGAGACTAAAAGACAAATTGTGAATCAGTTTTCTCCTTTTATCATGTGGGTCCTGGAGATCAAATTCATGTCACCAGCTTGGTGCAAGCAGCTTTACCTCCTGAGCCACCCTATGAGTCCATTATGCATGTTTTCTTACTGCGTTGAGACAAAGTCTATGTATCCCTGGCTTACATGGAACTCAGATACACCTGCCTCAGTCTAGGATTAAAAACATGCATTACCACACCATGCTCTTAAAAGTCTAAAGACTAGATGTTTCCAATAATCAGCTTCACCAGTACATGTACAGTTCAGTAAATAAACTGCACACACCTAACAAATGGTGTAATCAGAAACTGCCTTCTAAATAGCTATGTTCTGGTCTAGAACCTCTCTCATCTCTCTCAACCCAGTGGTGATTTATTAACTGTTGTGTTTTGTAACATTTCCTTTTAAAAAGCAATGTTTCCCCTGTGTTTGAAGGGTTAGAAAGATACACCTTATAATTCTAGTCCTTATTAATTTCTGTAGGCTTTAAAACATTTATGGCAATAGTCTTTTGTATATAAATTGCTTAGTAAATGAATATAAATTCTCAATAGAAGTCTATGTTAAATCTCTGTTCACCCAGTGAAGTCTTCACCTTCAAGTTCACTGTTTCTGCCTTTTTCAGCATTGGAAGAATATGGTCAAATTTTTAATAAGATCCATCAGCATCCATCCACACCCTTCCACTGGGTCCTTCCACAAAGCCTTGCTTAGCATTCCGTGGTCAAGTCTTTTTTCTCTCCTCTCTTGTCTTTGGCATGATTCCTCTCTCTCTAACTGTCTAATACCTCATGACAAATTTCCATTGAGGTCCTCTAGACTAGGTTCCCTTGAAATTGACCTCATTTCAACTTCATTCCATTCCCAGAAACCACAGCACTTATTAGCTAAATTATGCTTGTTTGAGTAACATTTTTCTATAAAATAATACTTCAATTCTAAAGATGCAGCATGTGATAATTTCAATTGAAGTACAATTAAAACAGCATAATATGAGCAGATCAAAGGAAAGGAATCGACAGGTTTTCTTAAGTTCGTGTGGCTACAGGACTCAGAACCCAATCAAGACATGAAACACTCTTACCTCTTTTCATTTACGTTTCCCCACCAGTCAAAACCTTTTGCTTCAGCAGTCAATGCTGTCCACATTTCTGTTCTAAACTAAAATTTAGGATGGAAATTGAAAGAGTGCAGCATAATGCTTGATATACATGTGGTTACATGCTTGTTATAGTTGAACAAACTAACCTATACGTTATCTCATGTAAATATTCATATTTTCACCTTGTAGCAAAAACTTCATACTTAGGAAAACTCCTGAGTGCAGTTTGCTGTTATTACAAAGAGATCCCATGCTGTTTCTTACTGCTGTGGTTTGAATGAGAATGGCTGCCATAGGCTCATATATTTGAATGCTTACCCCTAATTGGTGGGAACTGTTTGGACAGGATTAGGTGAGGGCTTTTAGGAGGAAGAAAGGCACTAGGGGTTGTCTTTGAGGTTTCAAAAACCCAGGCCATTCTCAGTGACCACTCCCATGCCTGTGGATTAGGTGTAAGCTCTCAACTACTTCTCCTGTGCCCTGCCTGCCTGCCTGCCTGCCTGTTGCTATGCTTCCTGTCATGGTAGGCATGCACTCTAACCCTCTAGAACTGTAATCCCCTAAATTAAATGCTTTGCTTTATAAATGCCTTCGTCATGGTTTCTCATCACATCAATAGAAATGTAACTATAACAGAAATTGATACCAGTGAGTGTGCTATTGTTATAACAAGCCTAACCATGCTGCTTTTCAAAGAATGCAGAAGACTATGGATCTCTGGACTAGGGAAGTAGTTGAGTGTCGTAAGTGGGGCTTAACAGACCATCCTAGTAGGAACTTGGACAACAGTCATACTGAAAGCACTGTAGACTATGGAGGGCCAGCTTAAGAAGTTTCAGTGGGGAACAATGTTAGCAACTGTGCTACAGACTATTATTGCTTTATATTTTTTTTAAAGAATGCTGCCTCTTTTTACCCTTGTCCTAAGTATTTGCCTGAGCATAAATTGGAGCATTTGGGACTAATTTTGTTTGCAAAGGACATTAGGTCTACAATGAAAATGAGTAAGCAGGGAAAAAAAGAAATATAATATGCACAATTGCAGAGAAAAAGATCACCAAGGAATTTAATGTCAGAGCTAAGTCTTGTGCTCAAAGAGATAAGTAGTCTATAAAGAAAGTCCTGATGTGCAAAGGAATAAAAGGAGTGCTGCTCTCAGGGCAAGACATTATCCAGTTAATTTCCAACTTGTAAAAGGGAAATGCCTAAAGACTCTCCTAAAAACAAAGGAAACTAGTCAACAAATGAAAGCAACAAATTAAAGCTTATGCCAAATTCCATTCTAAGCATAATACAAAACTTGGCAGCATCAGCCATGTGGTTCTGGCCTTTGAGTCAAGAGGGATTCAGGAGTAAAGTGGTCATGGAATCTCCCTCCATAGTTATGAAAGCCAGTGAGGCCAGGCATGTGGCAGTAATCAGAGCGGTGAATATCCTAGCTGTCATCATTTCACCTATTTGTGTTTGTAGTTCTAGCTACAGGGTACAGGTTCTCACAGTGAGCTACACTCTGAGTACTATTCAATATTTTGTTTGCTGGCATTCAAATCTATTTTGTTCTTCTCAGGTTTAATTGAATATTTTATATTACTGCATTTTTTTTCTGTTTTGTCATGACACTCTTTTAAATTTTCATTTATTGGCTGCCTCAAGGTCAGAGACTCTGCCCCACATGCCTGGTAACTTAAATTCAACCTCTAGTTACAACAAGGTAGCAGTATACAGAAGCTACTACAAATCCACAGCAGGTCTATGTGTAACAAATAAGGGATCAAGTGTTGCCCAGCCCCATTTTGTACATCTACAAAGTAACCACTACACCTAAGATCCAGGGAACAATGAGGATTATGGGGAAGAAAGATGGTAATATTCAGAATACCAGATGACTGCTGCTAGATAGTGTCTTCTAGACATGGCAGGGAGGATGCATCCATACAATTTCAACAATATGGTTGCTTAAACAAGACCTGCATAATGATAACATCAGTGGACTGTGGGGCGTTTACCCACCACCCCCACAGTTCCCCAGAGTTTTCTTGAGTGTGAGCAGCAGGAAATATTAGATAGAAGGATTTATTGCAGAGAATCTGCGGAGATAAACAGATAGAAAATAAAGGATAGCCTCGAGAGGGCCTGGAACCTTTTCCAACGGGCCCTGACTGTCTCTGCCTCAGAGTTTTTATAGAGATGCCAAGGGGTGGAGCAAAAGACCTCCTCCCCCAGCACAACCAAATGCAGACCATCTCAGACACCTGCACTCAGGCCCGTGGTCCTAATCATCCTCTATGCGGACCTGCTGGGTAAAGCCACGAGGAACCCGAGAATGGGCTCCCACAGTGGACATGCCAATGTGGATCAGGAAATCTTACAAGGACTCACTCCTAAATGAAGAGCTACAAGCAATCAGTGGCTACTGAGAGAAGGAGAATCAGTGTTCTTCAGGGATGAGCCTCCCATGGGTTACTCAGTC